TTTGAAGTATTGAAATATATATATATATATATATATATATATATATATATATATATATATATATATATATATATATATATATATATATATATATATCGCGATGTATTGACAACGCTATGGGTTCCAACACAAAGAATCACAGCAGTAAGGGAATCTAACCCGTTAAAACGCTTGAATTGATGACAACAAATAAACACAGCAACCAGAAAGTGCACGACATCACACTTCGTACTTTTACACTCACAGAATATCGACAGGGGATCTCCTGGGATCCCGTCCCGTAGTCCCAAACGTAAGTACTTGGGGGATCTCTTGGTATCCCGAGGATCTCTTGGTATCCTAAATATATGTGCTGGGGATCTTCTGGTATCCCGGGGATCTCTTGGTATCCTCAATATATGTGCTGGGGATCTCTTGGTATCCCGAGGATCTCTTGGTATCCTCAATATATATGCTGGTGATCTCTTGGTATCCCGAGGATCTCTTGGTATGCTCAATATATGTGCTGAGATCTCTTGGTATCCTCAATATTTATGCTAGGGATCTCTTGGTATCCCGACCCAACAATATGAACAATAACATCCCGGCAAGGGAATCAACAATATGAACAATAACATCCCGGCAAGGGAATTCAACAATATAAACTATACATCCCGGCAAGGGAATCAACAGTATGAACAACAACATCCCGGCAAGGGAATCAACAATATGAAGAATAACTTCCCGGCAAGGGAATCAACAACAATCCAACAATCCAATCACAAGGAAGTTCCCACCACCAAGAGTATGATTACCTAGCAACACGAAAATCACAGAGAAACTAAGAAGCACAATAACCTCAGCAAACAACAAAAAAGACAGCTAATTCAATTAAGGCAATTAAGGCCAAGTAACAGGTGAGAGTTAGAGGAAGGCTAACAACATCGTATGGAGCATATAGAGGTAAATTATGCAATTAGATAACTCAATCATAACAGAATACTTCCCATATGATGAACATAAGGACCTAAGAACTCTAAAGGCAATTTTCCCACAAATAAGTTCGAGCACACACTCGTCACCTCGCGTACACGGACTACAATTAGCATGGACGACTCAAATCCTAAGGGGAAAGTCCCCCACACAAGGTTAGGCAAGATACTTACCTCAAAGACGACAAACCGATACTCTAAAATGAACTTCTCGGGTGAAAAGACCTCCGGACGGCTCAAATGTAACCAAATTAACTTCAAAGCACATCTCTCACCTTCTTTAGCCGAGGGTCTATCGGAAACAGTCTCTCTGCCCTTCCAGGGTAGGGGTAAGGCTGCGTACATCCTACCCTCCCCAGACCCCACTTGTGGGACCACACTGGGCTGCTGTTGTTGTTAACTTCAAAGCACAAATAAAACACACAAGAAACTATTCTGGATCATAAAGTCTCAATCTTTAACAAAAGCCAAAAATTGGTCCAAAAGTCGACCCCCGGGCCCGCGCCTCGGAACCCGACAAATTTTACAAAATCCGAATACCCATTCCAATATGAGTTCAACCATACAAAATTTATTAAATTCCGATACCATTTGGCCCCTCAAATCACGATTTTTCATTTTAGGAATTTTCTTCAAAAACCAACATTTTACTCAGCCCAAATCACAAATTAAATGATAAAAATGAAGACAAATTCATGGAATATGTTTGATTCTAGGTGAAGAACACTTACCCAATCAATTTGTGTGAAAAGCCCTCAAAGAATCGCTCAAAACCGAGCTCCACAAGTCAAGTTATGGTGGAAATGGTGTAACCCTCGATTCGGAAATTATATTCTGTCTGCCCAGATTTTGTACATTGCGATCGCGGAAGGAATGATGCGATCGCGTAGGAGGAAAATAGTCACTGTCCAAAAATGTGCTACGCGATCGCGGAAGGGCTTATGCGATCGCGTAGTAAAGGAACTTTCTGCTGCCCAAAGCTACTCTTCGCGATCGCAAGGAGAAACGCGCGATCGCGTTAAAGGAAAAATTTGTTGCCCAAAAGGAAGAACTATGCGAACGCAGACATAGAAGATGCGAATGCGAAGAAGGAACACACAGAGTTCCGCGATCGCGAACATGGTCATGCGAACACGATGAACAATTAATACCTCCTCCAAAATTACTCTTCGCGATCGCGGAGGAGCAGACGCGAACGCGTAGAAGAAAACCAGCTGACAGATAACAGCAGTTCAAAAACAAGGGAAAATGGCCCGTATCCCACCCGGAACACACCCGAGGCCTTCGGGACCTCAACCAAACATGCCAACATATCCCATAACATCATTCAAACTTGTTCCAACCCTCGGAACGCTCAAAACAACATCAAAACACCAATTTAACATTGGATTCAAGCCTAAGAACTCCAAAAACTCTCAATTTACGCTTTCGATCAAAAAGTCTATCAAACCTCGTCCGAATGGCCTGAAATTTTGCACACACGTCACATTCAACACTACGGAGCTACTCCAACTTCCGGAATTTCATTCCGACCCTCGGATCAAAATCTCACTATCGAACTGGAAACTTCAAAAATTCAACTTTCGGCATTTCAAGCCTAAATTAGCTACGGACCTCCAAAACACAATCCGAACGCGCGCCTAAGTCCAAAATCACCATACGAAGCTGTTGGAATCATCAAAAATTAATTCCGGGGCCGTTTACTCAAAAGTCCAATTCCGATCAAATTCTCACCGCTTAAACTCCCAAAACTAGATTCCTTCTTTCAATTTGACTCTGAATCATCCGTTAACTGAATTCAACCATGCACGCAAGTCGATACTCGTATTATGAAGCTGTTCCAGACCTTACGCCGCTGAATGGAACTTAAATTCTCAAAACGACCGGCCGGGTCGTTACAAATTGCTACTCAAAAGTGCTTTTCAAATTAAGTAGCCAAACACAAATTGTTTCTCACCAAAAGTACCTTTTTGAAAAACAATTTTGAGAAAACCACTTCTCAAAATAAGTTGAATTTAGAAGCTTGGCCATATAGGCTATTATTCAAAGTCAAATCTTTTTATGAGAAGTTGCTGGTGAGAGAGTAGACATGTTTTCCTCGCTTATTGGTTTGTATTCCAAGGGCGGCCAGGAAAGTGCTATTTTTGTTGTTGTTGCGTATTTGGTAGCAAGGGGATCGATTATGATAGTTGAGAATCTAAGCATGAGAAATATTACCTATGTTAGCTGGTATATATGTGCAAATTTTCGGGTGAAGAAGTTGATCTTCTTTTGGTGCATTAGGGTGGCGTTGGGTATGTGGAGGGTAATCTTGAATTGGTTTGATAAATAGCGAGTGATGCAAGGCACTGACAAAGATGTGTTGCACGACGGGGCTTGTAGAAGTAGGAGAAGAAGATAAAGGACATGGACGGTTGCTAGCTAGCTCTTATGTAGGTCGTATGGAGGAAATTATGAGAGCATTCGAGGGGATTGTAAATGATTTTGTACACTTGAGGAATTGTCGTTTGTTTTTGATTGCTTTTTGGTGCACCCATGAGATTCCTATTTGTATAGATGACTGAGTGTAGAGAATAATGTTTTGTTGTAGATTCTTCACTTTTTGGTATACCTCTTGTACATTGGAAGATATTTTCAATGTTAATAAAATTATTTACCTTATTAAAAAAACATGGCATTTCTGGTGATTGGTAAGCTTTAAAAAGGATAATCATTGTCATTCAATGTAAGGATAGAAACAACCTTGTCTAAGAGAGAGAAGACATGATTTTCCCAAATTCAGCCTGAAATATGTTAAACCCATATCTTACCAATTTTTAATCCACTTTTCTATGGTTAAAAATGGGCTCAATCCACATTTGACCCATATTTTAATGTCACTCACCAACTCGTTTAAGTGCGAGCGGGTTGGTAAAATATGGGTATGAATTGTGCCAATTGTCAGCACTATGTTCGGCATTGCAAGAAATAAGGACGTCATCTTCAAATAAGAGGTGTGTGACTCTGATAATTCTTGACCCCTAAGCACCTTTGTTTCCAAATTAATAGATACTGCTTGTGATAATTTCTTGACCCCCAAGCACCTTTGTTTCCAAATTAATAGATATTGTGTGATTCGTAGTCACAATTTTAAATTTAAACCATGAAACATTAAGTTAGGCATCTTGGAAATAGAACTACTAGCTTTGGACTATCTACTTATTATGTGTCGTGTTAAGTTTCTACATGTGGTGGACTTAGAGCCGATTTGGCTTAGCTTCAAAGAGTAGCTTTTAAGCACCAAGTGCTGAAAAGCACTTTTTAAGTGTTGGAGCTGATTTTATTTTATGAAGAAGCAGTTACACGTTTGGGTAGAAGTGCTGAAACTGAAAATAAGTCGTTGAACAGCAATTTGGAAAACTGATGTGATTGCATAAAAAAATTTGCTCCTCCTCATGTTCTATCTCCATATATTCTTCATTAAGTCGTTAAGCTTCTTTGTCCTTGACCTTTACATTTACCTAGTAGTTCTTGAGGATTCATCTAAAGTAGCCCCACAAAAAATGCAAGAGGAGGAAGTTGGCTACGCCCGTTGATAGTTTTGAAATATATTATATCGCAATTTGGATAAAAAAGTTCTCTAACTGTGGCCCCATAAATATTGGATTTACTATTATCTTGGTTCTGTTGATCTTAAATTCGCTATTCTTTGGGTCGTTTCCAACTAAGAGTTTTCTCTCTTAGCATGTAGGTATGGTACAATGCGGGATAACGTCATCAATCTTAAGGTTGGTAAGTTGATATCAAAGGCTTGTATTGATGGGAGAGCCAAATTTTAGATATAGTTCTCTTGCAGGTTGTTCTAGCTGATGGAGAAGTTATGAGGACTGCATCTCGTGCCAGAAAAAGTGCTGCTGGGTGCGTTTTCTTACATTAGTCTCGATGTTTCGTCACTTGATATCCTTTTCTCTTTGACAGTGTTGTCAAAGGCTCATTTAAGGCGCGCTTAAGCCCTAAAGCTCAGAAAAGAGCGCGCTTCGCTTAGGCTGCGCTTCAGTGTAAGCAAGGCACTAAGGCGTGTGCCTTATTTCCCATGAGTTCTATCTTGAATCGGGCAGTACTAAACAACAATAATAATTTAGTTGTTGAGTAAAAAACATCATGAGTGAATTTGTTACTCTTTTTTCTTGAATTACATATATATTTATTTCTTTCCTTCGTTGCGCCTTTTTTTTAATAAAGCCTACATTTTAATTGCGCTTTGCGCTTAAAGCCCCAATAGACCTAGAGCGCTTTTTAGAGCTTTTCGCTGTTGACGACACTGCTCTTCGAACAACTTGATCTTGTTTTAATATCCTTAATGAAGAATGAAAATAGGTGATGCCATTTTCAATCATATAATAGCTGGATGCATAGGCATCTTCACTGTAATGATAATGCTGTTAGCTCTCATTATTTACCATTATTTCTCTTGATAATTTAGTAAATACGAAATTCCATTAATGTCAACGAGGAAGGTGAGCTTCTAGGAGTCAGCCTCTTAGCCTCAGGTCAACTTAGATAGACATGGATTTCAAACTCCAGAGAGTCTTTCCTTTGTCTTAAGATTATGAATTTTGAAAGTAGCATTCATGTTTAAACATTTTTCAAGTACGTACCCAACCAGTGAATCTTGAACATGTTTCTGGATAGTTGATATGGGTCATATGCTGATGAATATTTAAATATAAATTCCATAATACAACCAATTTATTTGATAATGTTAAGATTTTATTGATGTATGGTTGGGAGAAAGAGACTCCCATATTTAAGAAGTGTACAAAAGTAATAGTTTTAGATAAAAGTATGACTCTTTACAAAGAGCATTCGGTTATCTGCACTATTTGGGATCTCATACGTGCTCCAAAGGTTTATACTTTATAAAAAGCCATAAGTATTCCTCTCATCTGTGCAGAGCTATTCACTATGCATTTGAAAGCTTGTCGGTTTCTCTCTCTTGATATTGCACATAAGTGCCAAATGGACTACTTCCCAACTCTAGATCTTCTCCTTTTTCTCATAAACGCTCAACTAGGGGCTAAGCCTTTGGCTGTATCCAGCATCACCCATTCCATTTCAAAGAGTTTCCAAATTGTAGTCCACAATCAATGCACCAAATTGCTATGAAATGGTGACATGACCAGTAAACTGCAGCTAATGCATTTGGTTAATTTTATACTTATGCAATGATCCTTTGAAAACATCGTTAATATCAAACATTCTGCTTGACTGACTGAGATGATGCAGATATGGATGAGTAGCTAGTACTGCATCGTCTTATGTAGGATACAATAGGCTTTTCCGTTATCACACTTCTATTAGTTGTTCATATAGACTCCTCTGTTCTATCATTCTGAAGAAATATGATGACTATTGATATGCATAGACTTTCTGAATGATCATTGAGTGTTTCTTGTGTTAAAAATCTGTAGTATCTTTTGCTTTCTCAGTTACAATGTTTTAATTTTGGTATCAGTTTCTGATTGTACTGTTTACATTAAGAAACTGTCTAGCTAGCATTCATTAAAAGTGGTGAAACTGCTTGTTGCAGGTACGATTTGACACGCCTGATGATTGGAAGTGAAGGCACTTTAGGCGTTATAACTGAAATAACCTTGCGCTTGCAGAAACTTCCACAGTCTTCAGTGGTATTTTACTGTTTTTACTTTTCCTTGATGTAGATATTCTCAAGTACGAGTCCTGTTTTTCGCAAAATTCAACTCTGTAAATGTTTTCAACGTACTAGGGGAATATCTAATTACATTCAGACATTCTACTGTGGGAGAACTTATAATCAATATATGGTCTTCTGAACAAATGGTAAAGTGAAACTTGAATGTTCTCATTCATGATAATTAAATATCTTTACTGATCAAGAAAGAGTGATATTTGACACTTGTTCATACTATCACATGGCTATGTCTAGTGCAACGGATAGAAAGACTTCCACAGCTATTTACGAAGACCAACTTTCTGAAAAAATATTTTTCTATTTGTCGATGCAGAGTCTGTAGATCAATCCTCAAATTTGGGTGGGAAGGAAAAGAAATAGGTCACTTATCAATTCTGTCTCCTGTCACAACGTTAAGCTTAATTTTACCCCACTCTGAATTATGCAACTTGAAATGGGTAGGGGTCGTGGGTTTGGTTTCACTGAACATCGTTGGATAACAATATGTAAACGGTCTAGCAACTTTGAGATCAAGATTGTATCTGACCTAAAAAAAGAGAGAGATTGTGAGCCCGTTTGGATTGGCTTAAAAAAAGTGGGTTTTCAGCAGAAATAACTTTTAAGCCAAAAAACAATAAGTTGGGGTTGCCCAGCTTATTGCTTTTGGCTTGTTTTAAGTAATTTTTAACTTTGCCGAACACTAAAAAAAGCTAAAAAGAGCTTAAAAGCTGATTTGATCAGCTTAAAAGCCAATCCAAACACCCTCTGTATCTGACCTAATTCTATTGTGGAATTCGGTTGAAGTTGATTCTAGTTATGTTTATCCATTTTGTATTTGACCTCAGATTGTTAAAAATTAAATGCTATTTGGGATTCAATTCAATCCTAGCTTGTCAAATTCATTACCTTGATTATTATTTTCGAATTTTATATGGGAAGAGGTGATATATACTGTGTCATATGGTTTTATGACTTCATCGAGGGGCCGAGGCATAGTGGTGTCAATCTGACATGAACACCGGTGCCACCAAATCCAGTCAACACCTGATGGGTGTTTTCAATTTAATTTTTTTTCTAGCAATCGTTGTTTTTGTTAGAAATATAACTTGGGAGAAAGAGTTGATGGGAAAGAGTGACCTTAATATGTCATGCTTCTATCTATTTATATACAGAGTTTACGATGAGAATATTTACACTTGTCCAATGTGAGACACTTTACAATACTATAATAGTTTATTTAATATCTAAAACTCCCCTTGAAGCCGGTGCATATATATTATATGTGCCGAGCTTGTTACATGTATATAACTAACTATAGGCCTAGGAGAGACTTGGTAAACCTGTCTACAAGCTGATCATTAGACTCTACAAATCTTGTGACAATATATCCTGAAACGCAAAACCTTGCCAGAATCTGACTGGTATGCCGGAATCCTAGTTCTGGTTGTCAACAAATTCAGAAAAGATGATGGGTAGTCTCAGAATGAAGAGACGAGTCTCACTGAAGAAAGAATCTCGCCGGAAAGCGGCTGAAATGTCTCTCATGCGGCAGCGTGTGAGGCGAGCTTACTGGAAAAATCAGAGGCTGGCGCGTGAGGGCGAGTGGAAGCTTCGACGGGCTGGGGTTTTTGGGGTTTGGTCGCATAAGGGTTTCGGATGTGTTGGTGGTACTGGTATATGCGAAATACTCCTGGAATAGTGATGAACCCTCGAACAGTGATGTAGTTGCCGGAAAATCACTCGGCAATGGATTTTCTCTTCTGCAATCGTTAGATAGTTATGTATTATGCATATCAGTAGTCTAGTCCTACATTGGAATAGGAGTAATATGTACTATGTAGAGCATAGCTATAAATAGGGCTTCTTGTAGTATATTGAAAAGTGATCTCAATAATACTCCCTCCGTTTCAAGTTATGTGAATCTATTTCCTTTTTAGTCCGTGCCAAAAAGAATGTCCCCTTTCCATATTTGGAAATATTTTTTTTATGCAATAATTTATAGCCACAGAAAATATTTGTGCCTCATTTTACACCACTAGTTCAAAAGTTTTCTCTTTTTTATTAAATTCCGGTCCCAATCAAAGTTCATATAAATTAAAACGGAGGAGTATAATTTTTCAGTGCTCTCACATGGTATCAGAGCAACCTTGAGAGATTCATCGCTTTGCAAAAATACTAGCGACTCCAGGAAGAAAAAATCAGTTAACTTTAAAATTTTCCGGTGACCGCAAGTCTGTCTGGTTAAAAGTCCTTTTTTTGCTGGTGTTGTGCAAAAACTGATACCACCATGAGGTAAATCAGCCTCCGGCGACCAACCTTCTCCGGCAGAAACCCTCAAACGTGCCCTCACGCCGCAGGCAGAATTTTCTCCGGCAAGATTCCAACTCACGCGTCGGTGCGTGAGGCACTCTCCGGCCATTTTTTGACAAAATTTCTTCTAGACAGTTGGTTCGCGAGGTTATTCCGAGCCTACCTGATGTTGAGCATAATTTCATATATTTTGATAATATTTACTTTGCATTTTTACCGTTTTTTGATTGTATTTTATATTGTATATGCATAATTTAGTTTGAGTATTGAGCTTTATACTTATTTAGGTGTTAATTGATAATGTAGGTATATTGGAGAGTGAATACAAAATTTTGGAGGAAAAAAAAAGAATGAATTACTAATAATCACATAATGATTACTTGGTAAGTAATCATTACATGATGATTGGTTGGTTAATAAAGTATAAGTCAATTGAAAGTTAGGCAGCGAGAATTGAATTCTTGTTGTCTCCTCTTTGAATTCTTGTTGCCTAACTTTCAATTGACTTATACTTTATTAAGCAATCAATCATCATGTAATGATTACTCACCAAGTAATCATTATGTGATGATTGGTAATTTATTCTTTTTTTTTTCTCCAAATTTTCATATTCACTCTCCAATATACCTACATTATCAATTAACACCAAATAAGTATAAAGCTCAATACTCTAACTAAATTGGGCATATACAATATAAAACACAATCAAAAAGCGGTAAAAAAGCAGAGTACATAATAGCAAAATTATGCTCAACATCACTACCTATCCAGGTTACACCAAATTCCGACAACTTCTTTATTTTCCAGCAATTCGTTGCAGATTTCGGCTACTAATTTTCGGCGACTACATTGTCCTTTTTCTGCTGTTGCTTGACTGTTTTTTGTGACTTCTTGATTGTTTGATTATTTGGTCTAAAAATGGCTTTGAGCTTTGATGTATTTGGTTCTGAAAACACGGGTTCTGGAAATTCAAGCTTCATAATTACTTCAGAGCCCTTAGTGGAAAGTTCAAACTATTTAGCTTGCGCTTCCTCTGTTGAGTTGTGGTGCAAAGGTCAAGGTGTTCAAGATCACTTAACCAAATAGGCCAGTGAGGGAGATGAAAAGGCCAAAGCACTTTGGGATAAGATCGATGCGCAATTATGTAGTATCCTGTGGCAATCTATTGATCCCAAGTTGATGCCCTTGTTTCGTCCATTCCAAACATGTCATTTAGTTTGGGGAAAGGCTCGCACTTTATATACTAACGACATATCTCGTTTCTATGATGTAGTATCGCGGATGACAAACTTGAAGAAACATGAATTGAATATGTCTACTTACTTGGGACAAGTACAGGCAGTCATGGAAGAAGAATTTGAGAAGTTGTTGCCAGTTTCTGCTAATGTTGAAAAGCAACAAGAACACCGACAAAAGATGTTTCTAGTTCTTACACTCGCTGGACTTCCTAATGACCTTGATTTAGTATGTGACTAGATTTTAGCTAGTCCTACTGGCCCTACTGTTGATGAATTATTCTCTCGGCTGCATCGCCTTGCTGCATCGCCTAGTCACACGATAATCTCATCACAGATAGTTGACTCCTCTGTTCTCACATCCAAGATAGTGAAAAATCGAGCATCTCAGACTATGGAGAATAGACAAGGAGGTGGTCGTTTTGGAATGTCTCGACCCAAGTGTTCTTATTATAATAGGCTTGGACATACCCATAAGGTGTGTTACTCTTTGCATCCCAATAGAGCTGATTTTATATATCCCAACTGCATCCCAATGACTGTCACAAGGAGAGTCCATAAACCAACTTACAACTCTAATAAGGAAATATCAGGCCTAGTCATTGTGAGGTAATTCAACTTGCCAACCAACTGCCTATATCTTCCGGGAGCGCTAATAGGCTCCCCCGTCCTAGCAGAAGTTTGGCATTTGGATCCATAGGAGTGTCAATGGGTCTACAACCCATCACTCCTGTCTCCTCAAGAATGTCTAAGGGATACTTCTGCTGTGAAAAAAATACCTGAGCTACATTGAGCGACCTCAATACCTAGAAAATACTTCAATCTGCCCAGATCGTTAGTCTGAAGTGTTGAAAAAGATGTTGCTTCAAACTAGTGATACCATCTTGATCATTGCCGGTAATAACGATATCATCAACATACACCACTAAATAAACACACAAATTTGAAGCAAAATGCCGATAAAACAGAGTGATCAGCTTCACTACGAGTTATGCCAAAGATTATTTTCTCATTAAACGCTCTGATATCGTGTGAGAAAGAAGAAAACGCAGGTTGATTGTTCCGTCAAGCCATTGGGGTTTAAATAGCTAAGCATGCATATTCTAAGAAAGGAAAGAAAATCATAATTATAGGGGTAAATTGAGTTATACTATATTTACAAGGTCCTAAAATATTAGAGTCCCTCCGTTTCAATTTATTTGAATCTATTTGACTGGGCACGAAGTTTAAGAATTTTTTTTTTTGAACTTGTGGTATAAAATGAGGCACATATATTTTGTGTGGTATAAATCATTGCATAAAGGTAAATTGTTTTCAAATATGGAAATGGGTCATTGTTTTTGGCATGGACCGAAAAGGAAATAAGTTCACATAAATTGAAACAAAGGGAGTAGAATCTTTGAGATTCTAACATCTCCATAGGTCATAAATCCATCGGAATAGATATTCAAATAAACCTATAAATAAATGATAACATCGATTTTTCATAATATGACCGGGAATTTTTGGAGACTTGAAAAATTTTGAGGTAAGATTACATACTTCCCTAATGCTGTCAAGACTTGAAAGAACTTGATACTAAATGCATACTACCCTGTTGTTATGGAGACCTGAAAGAACTTCAGGTTCTTGTGGCCTCAGGCTTGTCTGTGAAACTAGGCCTTATTGGTGCTATATGTGCGATTATAAATTCTTGAATGTGCTGGGTTTGATCTATAAATTGTCGCTAAGGATTGATGCAATAAATTTGTTCTGTAGTAGGACACCCTGTATCTCAGTTAAGTTAGAAACTTAATCATTCTTTTCATGTTAGTCCCTACTATTAGGCCAGTCTGTGTACCCCTATTTTAGAGAGAGTTGTGTCTTCTCATATTGTGCTGTAAATAGCTTTATGTTGAACTTGCATTTTTCATGATATTTGTACAGGTTGCAATGTGCAACTTTCCAACAATTAAAGATGCTGCAGACGTTGCTATAGCCACTATGCATTCTGGTATACAGGTCAGAACTCAACTAAATGCATTAGAATAATCATAATACAATTCTAATGAAATTTGTTGGACCAGTCTCCTAATATATATGTACTGTTCTCTGCATGGCTACATGAACTTCTTTGACAGATTCCAACTAGTTTCATGTAAATCAAACTATGCCTGATTAAACTGATTAAATATGGGACTCATTTCCATTAAAGATTTTAGAAAGTTCTTTTGTTTATGAGTAACTTAAGATTAAGCCAATGTTTAATAGATTTAAACGTTTCTAATTATCGTCTTAGTGTAAGAAATTCCATTCAGTCACATCTCCAGAGGATATCAAATAGGTTAACGTTTTTTGAATCTTTATTTTCTTTCATGCTTCCATTTGGTTAAACTGAACACTGTAATTGTACTCGGCAGAGTTAGCGATGGAGCTCATTTTTGTTGTTTAGTTCAGCAATGGGGAAATTGAGGGCCTCTGACTCTACATTTTTGACAATTCAAAATAGAAACCATAACTTTCTTTTGGTGAAAGAAGTAATTCTTTGTTCCAATGCACCTTAGGTGTCAAGAGTGGAGCTCTTGGATGAAGTTCAAGTGAGAGCAATCAATCTTGCAAATGACAAAAAATTGCCGGAGGTTCCAACTTTGATGTTTGAATTTGTAGGCACAGGTGAAGTGTGCAAGTTTGATATAAAGAGTCCTGTCTGTTTTATTTTTATGGTATGAATACTAAAACTTCTGTTAATCTCCGTCTCACCATATAATTGTTTAATGCCTAGTTTAACTTGTGTTATAATCTTTAATCTCATAAGCAGTAGTAGAAGACAGCATACCAACAAGATTTTTTCCAAAAAAATATTTTTATAATAGTTGTGTCCGTGCCAGCTCTCACGCATCCTGAGTAATCCACCGGTTACCTGCTATCTCTCCACTAGAACATGTATCAGGTAACTTTTTCCACCAAAACTTAGATAGATGGAAAAAAATTACATAGCTTGTTTTCCTCCGTTGGGATTTGAACAAGCGTCTCTCTCATGGTCCATTCCAATTTCATTGACTATTACGCCACAACCTCAGAGTTGCATCAGTTGGCTTCCTGGGAATCTCCTTTTCCTTTTATGCTTCATAGTTCATAAATGAGAATTTGCTTGCTTCTGTAATTCTATTGACAATTTTTGATAATAAAATACTAATAGGTAGCATTTGGATGGAAGGATTTGGCCTTACCAAAGTCCTACTTCTTTGGCCGGACAATCGTTCCAAGTGATGATGGCCATGCATTTAGCACATCTGGAATGATGTCCCAGGAGGCGCCATTTAATTGCCCTATCTTGTTCAGTCCCTTATCGGCCAAGATGATGGAAGCTTCCTTGTCAAACCACTCCTCTCCTTCCTCTTCTTTCTCTCTCTCCAGCAGTCCTTAAGATATCTTATTCACTTGAACTCAAGCAGTATATCCCCTCTTCCCTGTCCGCACTCTCTTTTTCATCTTCATTCCGCACTCTCCTCCTCCGCTCTTTCTCCTCCCTCTTTTCCAGAATTCCACTTCCCTTTCTGTCTGGTATATATCGAGTTTGCTTAATGCCAGATTTTATGTGCTAATGAGACTAATAGTTGATACGAAAAGCCTTAACTTGTTGTGCTGTCTTTATTTTTCTTTTGTCATGTATTTTTGAAAAAAGATTTTTAATTGAAACCTTACAGTACACAGATCTGATTTTGGTGGAATCAGATTTGTTTATTTCTAGATGCTTACTGATCCCTAGTCATTATCCGAACAAGCTATTAGAAATTAAATTATGAATTCTTTGAAGGTTGTTGATTTATAAATCTGATCGAACAAGTTGCTTTCAATCTTTTATAATATGAGGCAAAGTTTCCAATAGATGATCAGTATAGGTGTAAACTCAAGCACCTTACTGAGAATAGTAAGTTAAGAAGAGACAATTCAGATAACCTGTGATAGGAGTGCATATAGATTAACCAGACAACAACAACAACAACAACATATACCCAGTGTAATCCCACATAGTGGGGTTTGGGGAGGGTTGTGTGTATGCAGACTAAGTCTTACCCCTACCTTGTGGAGATAGAGAGGCTGTTTCCAGTAGACAATATAGATTTACCAGAGTTTTAACAAATTATTCCTTCCAGTAGATTAGGAAGATTGACCCTTTCTTTTGTCTTTAGATGGGGTAGAGGGATTAAAACTCAGTTGCAGAACACATTGAACTTCCAGCTGGCCCTTTTCAAGGGTGCCTCTGAAGATTACTATGATATGCACTCTGAATATTCGCGATTGAACCTAACTATTGTTTTCATTGTGGGGTTCTGAGTGAACATACTAACTATACTGATGCCACTTACCTATTGTTTAACTAGCTACTGATTTTTGTGATCTATCAGAAGCGTATTCACGTGAGCAAACACGGATTGTTCAGAAGATAGCTTCTCAGCACAATGGCTCTGATTTTGTTTTCGCTGAAGAACCTGACGAGAAAAAGGAACTCTGGAAGGTACTTCATTGTCTTAGTTCTGTCTATTCAATATTATAACTTTTTTACGTTCTGTTTCTATTCAATTTTTCATTATAAAAGTACCTTTGCTTGTGTTTTTAGTTCTGTCAAACTAGATCTTAGAAAATGAGGGGCTAATATTAGTGTTTGCATTAACATGGATATGTTGTATGATATTTCAAGTAAATGACAGCTAGCAATGATAACTTCTATAAAAGCCCTACTCCTCCTATAGTCTCAAAAAATAAGAAAAGAATATGAAAACCTTTCCAGATTTCTGGTCTTATGCTGTCTTGTTTAAAAGAAAATAGACTAGCACAATAAGAGCTTGTTAACATTTGTAGAGTAATGATTTTAGTATCATTTGCTCATAATAAAATATGATTTTTCCCCCCAACATCTAGCTGGTAAGATGGAAATGTTTTGAACAATGATAAGGCTTCTCGTGGATGGAGCATGCAAGTTTTGTAGCTAAACACCCAAGTTATTGAGTACCTCCCAATAATTGCAGTTCGTAATCTTATTCCTATAGATCATCCAACTTACCTTTGTTCAAAAAGAACCACGAAAGGAGGAGAAATACAGACAACTCAATACAGATTCAATTAATTGAGAAAAATATCTTTCCTACTAAAAATGAAAAGGCAACAAAACCATGGATGTAAATTTGGAAAAATAGAATTCCTGAATTTGTTTTGTTGTACAATTGTAATTTTCTAGTTCTCATCATTCTTACTATGATTGGAAGGTGAAAAGTCGAGTCCGTGTGATTCTCCCTTATTCTCTGTACTGCTCATTTATGTCTTTATGAGTTCCCCATGATAGCTTCATGTAACATGGTAATCTCACCCCTTTGATAATTGAATAAATAGAGGAGCAATATTTTTGCTTGAGCATGCTTTTGTCAAAACTTTGAAAAGATGTGCTTCGAGTAGTAGTTTTACGTTCTTCTCTATGCAATAAATTGTCATGTAAGTTTTTTGTAAAGAAAGAGGTTCAATCTTTTTCCTAAGAATCATGTTTGAAACCTGTGACTGGGACAATTGCTTAATTTCACTTTATACTTTTTTTACTGCATCATAGTCTTCAAAGTAAGGTTTGCCTGGTGCCTTCCGAATTCTGTCAATCCTTAATAGATACAATTATGAAAATTATGATCATATCCTTCGAAAATTTCTAGGAAGTACTGTCTTTCAGCCCAGTATTACTCTCCTAACTACTTCCTTCATTTGGCTGTCATCAGCATAGTCGAGTCTCCAATTCCAACATAAACAAGTTGTTACCGGAAACTTTGAAACAAAAACAACTATGCCTCAGTAGTCGGTCCCAAACAAGTTGTGGTCGGCTATATGAATCCTCATTGGCCATTTCTTTTCATTTAAGTTCATCTCAGACCAACGTTATACAAAATAAAAACAAAAACGAACTAGTAGAAGTTCTCTAAATAACTATCCGCATAAAATTTTTTAATGGGGCTAAAAGTTTCCTAGAAAACATTAAGACCTAAAGTAAATGTACTAACATATATGTTGCGCGGACTCTCCGACACAGCTGCCGCATCCGTGTCGGATCCTCCAAAATGTACTACTGTTGGAGGATCCTACACGCGCCCATCGGCATTTTCGGAGAGTCCGAGCAACATAACATGACTTGAACATATTCCCAACTAATTGATATCTCCTATATAGATCTTTTTCTTCCATTGTGCTCTATCTTTCACTAAGGTTCCGAGAAATTGTAAGTCTTTGGAGACTACTTCCTTCTCTACCTCGTCCCCTTTTAACACCTTCACTCACCATGGTTTTACACCTATAGATCGGTGCATCTGGAGGTGGATGCAAGACATGATCAAGCTTTGAAACAAGTGAACCAAAAATAAATTTTCGAACTATCCATTCCACTATAAAAGGTATCCTATTGCTTAGTGAGATTCCACTTCTTACTCTATTAGATGTTTACCACTAAAGGTGAGAAAAAACTTCTTAACCATATAACCCTCATCTCGTCTATGTTGAACAATTTTCTTTCTTCAAATTCCATTTGACTTGGTGTGGATGTGATGGATCATAGTAACTCAGTGACTTCAGCGAAAATGTGATTCCATGTGGTATACAAGCCAACTTTTGAATAGTTAGTAACTGGCTCGTCTAACAATGTTGTTTATTAATTGTTGAATGGCTTCTTCTGTGTAGATAAGAAAGGAAGCACTTTGGGCTTGCTTTGCAATGGAACCTAATTCTGAGGCGATGATAACGGTTTGTTTCTACTGCTAGTTTACACTGAAATGAGTTGAAAACACATGCTCTATGTTTTTAGTTATAAGGTATTAGGTTTGGAAATTTTCATTTGGATCTCAGGTTCATTTGAAATGTTCCAACCACATTACTTTTGTGTTCACGTTTTCTTTCTTGCTTTCATCTATCGAAGTTTATTTAATTCATATGGATATATTTACATTATGATCTTTAGTCCCCCCCCCCACACACAAAAAAAAAAAAAAACCCCACCCGCATGCCACATCCCTCCACCTCCACCCAAAGATGAGGGGAAAAAAGACAAGTATTGCTGAATATAGGGTAATTTGGGAACTTGATGGTGATGCTACCTTCAGATTCATAATTGACACTTACCCTTTAAGTCGTAAATTTCGTTAAATTTAGATGAAATATTATAAATGGATGTTCCTGGAATTGAAAATAAAATCCTAATAGAACTAGATAGCATCTTGGAGCCTATAAATATTCGGAAAGCATTATGCTCATAGTGTCACAGAGGGTTGGTTAGACTTTAGCTTACTTTTCTCGTATGTTTATCGTTCTGTTGCGGAAAATTAAATCTCTTGGAACCTAAATTGTCTATTTGTCATTCTGCCTCCATGTTTGTGGCATTGAGAATCTTCGCTGCCTTGAGGGCTGGGCCGATAACTAAATACAGGATTGTAGTGATGGAAGTTGGCTCATGCACATAATTATTTGTACAAAAAAATGAGCTCCTTGAACCACGTTAGGGCGTTGCCAATCGATATTTGATTTATGCAATAGATAATAAAGACTAGCTTTCAGCAGGCTAACCTGGACACCACGGTTATTAAAAATAATTTAAAAAATAAAAGATAAAGACTAGCTTTCAGATTTTGTTGTTTCTTTCAGTTAAACCCCAACTCGGGGACACTATAATAGGTAATTCCAATAGGAGATGATATATTATTTTCTCATTTCTGCAAAGATACTTATTTTCTATATCAGTTAAAATCCCAACTCAGAAGCACTTTTAATAAGGTGATTCCAATAGGAGATGATATGTTGGATATTTTCTCATTTCTGCACATGTTTTAATTTCTATTAAGTGAGGACATTCTTCTTAACTTGTTAACATTTTTTTTTATTTTCAATTTGATTATCTGAAATACAAACTCGGTTTTGTTGCAGGATGTCTGTGTACCCTTGTCACACCTTGCTGAGCTAATATCAAGATCAAAACAGGAATTGGATGCTTCTCCTTTAACATGGTATGTCTTGTTTGTATAAATTATTGGACTCGACATGTTGGACTTTACGGACATTAAGTTACGAGTTTCTACCTTCTATATTGCTCATTGTTTTTCTTTAACAGCACTGTTATTGCTCATGCCGGTGATGGAAATTTCCATACAGTAGTTCTATTTGACCCTACCAAAAAGGAACAACGACGAGAAGCTGAGAGGCTAAACCACTTCATGGTCCATACTGCTTTATCAATGGAAGGTACAAGTTGCATTTTGGGCTTAGTGATCCTCTCCTTTCCTCTGCAATATCCATCCAACACCTCATCAAAGAAGAAGGAAATATGAAAAGGAAACAAGAAGCCTAGTTTCATATAGGGGTCTTTTGGTTCACATACTAGGTGTGCGGGGATTATAATGTTGGGATTGGTTATACGGTGATTAATAATGAAGGAAATATTATGTGGTAATTAATAATAAAGAGATTCTAATACTCTCTTTTTTTATTCCCCTCCCCTTTGATTCCCTTTGATCCCCCTTTGTTGGAGCTATTGCTCCTTGGTGACTCGAATCCACAACCCTGGGGTTGTAGGTAGAAGGTGTTGACCATCGGAGCAACCCCCTCCTGTTATTCTAATACATGATTACTTACTTTAGAGGGGCATTTTTGTCTTTAATAGTTTATTCCCCGTATTGCTAATACATGTATTCTTATTCCACATTATCCTGCATTTAATTATACAATGATCCCACATGACCTAAAGGGCAGCTCGGTGCACTAAGTTCCCGCTATGTGCGGGATCCGTGGATCCCACATAACTTAATGCGGGTTTTATTTAATACCCACCAACAAATGATGCATTAGATACGCAGCGATTATTTTATTTTAATGCGGTCAACCAAATACTGTTGTGCTGGATTTTATGCTAAGATTAATTATCAAATACTATCAACTAAACAACCTCTTAGTCTTTGAACTTACAATCCATGTGAAAGCAAGATCATAAGGATAAAGTTACCTTGGGCCATGATTAATTCTCTGATCAGTACATCACTACCAGGGTTTGGAAAGATATAGCTAATACAGAAGCTGCAGAGTCTGACCCTTGATCTTTATTCTTACTTGGTCTGCTTGTCCAATAAGCTGAATCGCCAAGAAAAGTTTTCTGACTGACATTGTTCCAATGGGGCAAGAAAGCTTAGCTACCTCCAACTGAATTTGATTCCTGGATTTGTCTTAACCTCTGATATGTTTTCCTGAATTTGTCTCGAAACCTACCAACAAAATTATCTTATGCATGTAATTTGTATGCAAACTTTGAACATGCATGTTGTTTATAGTAACTTGTGCGGCTCTGTCGATTCACCTGAAACTCTTTCTGTTGCTCATTGTGTGGTTCTATGTATAGACTCTTTCCACGGTTTTTACAAGTACCATTTCATCAAAGGCACGTGGATAGTGTTTTACCTTTTTTATTCTTTTGCTGAACAGGCACCTGTACTGGAGAACATGGTGTCGGTACTGGGAAAATGAAGGTATGATGTTTAAACACTTGTCCTTTTGGCTTTTTGATGTCTTACAAATAGGATGACACAATTGTTAACATAAACATCATTATTTTTCTTCTGCATTATATTTTCAGTATCTTGAAAAGGAACTTGGTATCGAGAACCTGAGGACGATGAAAAAGATAAAGGTTGCTTTAGATCCCAACAATATCATGAATCCTGGGAAGCTTATTCCCCCTCATGTTTGCTTCTAAGGCAGTGTGAAATGATATACGTATATTTTTTTCTTCTTTTCCCCGAATTCGTGTTGTAACAATGTATTCTATGTCAGCTCGAGTCTCCTCTGTACTAGCATAGACGTTGCTACTGCAGGATGCTAACAATATATGCAGATTAAATAAGTTTTGTAAGCAGTTGAATTACACAGGAAACATTGCAGCAGTTCATTTGATTGTGTTCATTTTTCTCTTTCTCATGACAACCTTTTGAGATTTAATGGTCTTTCTTGCAGTCAATGTAAATGCTAAACTAAGCAATTTAACCTTGGTCGTTAAAAATTAAAATGAAGATACGTATCATTTAGTCATGGTTAAGTGATAAATGTGTGTATGGAAGATGCATATCTTGCCTTCATTGGCTTGGCTTGGTGTACACACACCCCATTGTTAGCATTATACCTACTTTATTTGAAAATAAGGACTTCTGGGATGATGGCATATTCTCTCCTTCTGTTAGGGGCTGACTTTTTGACATCGGGCATGGCGCGGCTGTGGCAAGGATTGGGCGTGATGGCCATGCCATTGGCCTATGTGCGGGCAAAACGATCATGCGTGCAACGGACACGACATTGTCATGAGGGCTGTTGTGGGCAAGTATTGGCCAAGGTCTTGGGGCAGGCAAGGCATGCTTGGAAAAGGCTTGACAAGGCAGTGTGGGCAATGTTGGGGCGGCATGGCATGGCATGCGTGCCAAAGTCAGTGGCACGGGCACCTCGGGTTGTGGCAGCGCCAAGTGCGGGTTAAGCTAAGGCACGACAGTGCGGGATGATGGCAAAGGCTTTCAATAACTAAGGCAAGGCTATGTGAAGGAAAATACAAGCAATTGGCACGGGTGAAACAAGTGTTGACATGGGCAAGGCAGAAACTCGGCCAAGGCATGTGCGGGTGGCAGTGGCGTCGGGCGTGTGCAGAAAAATCATGGGCGGCAGGTTGCGGGCAAGACATTGGTGTGGAGCAATGTCAAGATGAGCCAAGGCTGGGCGCAATGCCAGCCTTGGGCGTGCGGCAGTTGACCAAGTCAAATGGCACATGCAATGCACATGCCGAAGCAGTTGGCGGTTACCTTTTCATAACCACTTGTACCCATGACTGATTTATGCTTGTATCCACTATCATTTCGTGTAGAACATGACCTAAGTAGTTGGGGATGTCAACTACAAGTTAGGAACTGATTTAGCCTTAGCCCGACAAGTGGCAAAAGCTGTAGACAACAAGTGTTCATGTGCTGTCAAATCCTAAAGGCTGCATATGTGCTATAAATAGGTGCCTTTGGACTTAGTCAGATTTAGTGTGGGAATTTCGTGTGAATTTCAAGTGGGAAACAAGAGTGAAACGTGAGAGTTTCCAAGTGTTTCAAAAGGGACTAAGGCTAGGCATTGGGCAGGTCTTAGTATTGGCTAAGAACGACTTATGTTCTTTGTCAAAAGTGGGGTTGTGGTCGACTTGTGATCATAGTCAAGTGAGGGTTCATTTGTATGTTTTCGAAATTAATACAAGGGTTGGGATTTTCCTGTATTTGATTGTGTACTTATTAAATTGTTGCCAAAATTCGTTAAGGCCAAACTTGCTGAAAATTTGGCTAAGTGTTGGAAAAGGCTGAGTCAAGCGCGCAACTTGACTGCCGCGCGGGTGTAACTTTGGACTGACCAAAATCGCCCCCGTCACACCTTCCACCATTGATCCAACAGCTATGACTTGTTACTCGGAAAAGATTTACTCCTATCTTATGTACCAATTAATAAATGCATGGTCTGTGTTATTCTCTTGCACTTTTATCATTTAAGTGTGGACAAAGGTTAATTTTGTACTTCAATTTGTTTTTTACACGCAACATTAAATAACAAAAAAACAAAAAATTCTAAATGTTTATTCATTTACTTTAATACTCTGTATTAATTTGTGATCACATATATGGCTTCTAAAAATGTAAAAAGAATCACATGAAAACATAGAGCAAATAATTAATATTTAAAACGGAGCTTTACGATCAAGAGAAGCAAAAACTAAAACTGTGGAACTCACTTTGATTTGTGAATAATGCTTTTTTCCCGACTACGATTAACTTAGCAGGAAGACAAGTCCTCTAACGAGTGAGTGTTTATGCCCCTTTAGAAATGAGGGAGTGGACGAGCAAACGAGCTTGTTTTGAGCTGTTTAGTAGGAATTAGACCAATAGGACGTAATAATTAAAGCTTATACTAGAATTTCATTACCTTATTCCTTAAACTGTAAAATGAGGACACTGGACATGGATACAACAAAAGGGTTAACATATATACCACATGCATAATACTACATGCTACCAATAGAGCGACTTAAGCCAAATTTTTACCTTATACTAGAATGAGGTGATCAAGAAAATCAGGGTCTTATAAAAGCCAACTATGTGAAGCTTTCCGGGTGGAAAACCTGCTCGACGTTTCCCGTGCATTGATTAGCATCTGCAGGTATGAAATTAGCTTTTAGACATCAAATAAATGCTTCTCCACCATGAGGAAGAAAAGACGAAAGGGGACACTTTGCTTCCATAAATTAAACATCGACGAAAATCACTTGGATCAATACTTCTTCGGAGGAAATTGTAATTCTTGTGTAGCATAAAGGTTGTACTTGTAGCTTAAGAGAAAATACTTCGCTATGTAGGTTGATACTGAAAGTACAAGAGGAAAGGGGGGGGGGGGGGGATTGTAACCGATTTAAAAATCTTAGTTGACTAAGTATGAGTTTATTCGACTAGACTTTGTGCAGTGATTGATTTCAGTAGAGATAAACTAAATGAGCAGAAAGATAAGAAGACACATCAGTTTTTATACTGGTTCAGTACCGGTGTGGTACCTACATCCAGTTCCCTTCTATCACAAGGGTTCTCTTAGATCTTTGATAAATATTTACAGCAGTGATGGTTTTAGTTCGTTCACCACCAACGATATACAACAACAATAATTCTTTCCAATGTTGACACAACTCTCATTTTGTGTTCTAACTCTTTGATCACGCCCAACTATGCCTTGTAAAAAGGACTAAGCGGTCGCTGCAAATATAATCCGGTTTATGTCCGGAGTCGAATCCCACAGGGAACTAACCTATTTACTACAACTTTTAACACTGCTAAGCTCACACAATTCCCGGATGCAAGATTTTTAATAGATAATGAGTAGAATTTAGTTAACTAAGGAAAAATGACAATAAAACTAGCAATAATCAAGAATAAAGTTGAATTCAATGGTAAAAGGGTCTGGGGCTATTGATTTCCCCAATTGTCGGATTAATTCCTGACACGTTAGCTATAATCTCACCGTAATACTCTATAAGGAGTATGAGTTTTGGGCTACCGCAATTATCTCTCGATCAATTACGATAATTTACTAGAAGCATTCTCTCGAACTACTCTAGTTAACAATTTATGCAACTCAGAATTATCCCACCAAAGCTTCGTTATCTCTAACCCTGCTTTTAATTTCAAGTAATTAATCTCTTAACTTACCCGAAAGTGGTGTTGTTCAACAACAATCTAACTAAGTGTTCTTTCTCAAGAAACACAAGATAACTTGACACGATTAATCAAGGGCCCTTTCAATTAATCACAAGACAACACGTAGTTGAACAATCATAGAGTAAAAACGGCTCAATTATATCAAAACAAAGTCAAGACTTCATCCAACAATTGGTTCCATCAACCCTAGATGACGGGTTTAGCTACTCATACTAATAGATAAAAATTCACTATAGAAAGTCATAATCAACAATGGAATTAAGAAGAAGAAGATGAAAACTCTTAGGGAAATTCTCTGTCTTCCTCTCGTGTTCTTGCCTCCAAAATCTCTCTAAAAGCAGCTCTCTCTCTCTCTCTCTCTCTCTCTCTCTCTCTCTCTCTCTCTCTCTCTCTCTCTCTCTCTCTCTCTCTTCTGGGAGAATTAAGCTTCATGTAGGTTTAGGTTAGTCGCCTTGGGAATTACATAATTGACCCTGGGTTATTGGTCTCCGTCAGCTCGTTCGCGACTGCAGATTTGACTGCGGATCTGGCCGCGGATTTCACCCAGTATTCTGCCTCCAGTGCGCGGTCGATCCGCGGCCGCGCACTTGGAGGTGACTTCGCCACTTGATTTTCTTTCTTCTTTTCGACCGTTCTAACCTCCGATTGGCCTTCCACACTCCATATTGACTCCAAAACACTCTTTAGCTTCCTCATAGCTCGGAGTGGCTCCTGCAAAGCAATACAATTCTTAATTAGAGCAATTTGTTATCTTTTAGCATTGAAATATCAATAAAGTGCGGCAAAATTAAAGTGTAAATAGTATCTAAATTGCATAAATATAACCTACTATCATTCTTCCTATCTTTTGTGACACTTGTAGACTCAAGAATACAATGTTTGTACTGAGAACTAGAAAGGCTTAGAAACAAATGATGTAGTTGCGTAATCGAATTCTTGAGTTTGCCAATCTTCTTATAGGAGCGTTTTGAGTAGCCGTTGCATATTTACCCTTGATTGAGGCACAAAATATTCTAAGAGACTTGACCCAAGGGGTGCCTCCAAATCCTGCACAAGGGATGGGCTGGATTGGTTTACGTCCTTCCTTTTCATATCCATAATCAAGGGAGTGATTTGTGGCTTGACTTGATCGAGCAATATTCAGTATCTCTAGATTCCAAATCAATCCTTGAAGTAGGGCCTGACTTTCTTTAGCGGCTACACTTGATTTGTTTCTTTTTTGATAGCCCCGACATCCTTTGAATTAGCACTGTTCTGACTTCCTTTAGCGCCTGTGCTTGATTTTGTTTCCTTTTTGATGGCCTTGACGTCCTTTGATTTAGCATTGTTCTTGCTGCATTTGATCTTGTTTCCTTTCTGATGTCCTTACCAAAAGGACTTCCTTTGAAGTAGTACTATCCTCCTAATTTCCTGCAATTAACTGGATTAAATGGAAACAATTAGATTTGCACTATTGTCATCATTGAAACTTAGGTGTAACAATCTCCCCCTTTTTGATGATGACAATCTTTGATGTAGAAGGAGTCATAGGAGGTTTCAACTTCTTTGGTGATTTTGTCCATCTTTTCTGTCATAGAGTTGAATGCCCTAATTCCTTGCCTCCTTGTGGCTCCCATGTCTATCCTGAGCATAGCCACATCTGTGCCTGTTTCTTTGGTTACTTCCCCGATCTTGTCCACCTGTTCTTTCATTGCAATGAGCGTGATTTTTACCCCATCTAGACTTTGTTGAATCTGCTGTAGGTTATTGGTGGCAGTCTACTGAGGCTCTGTTGGTTTAGTGGGTGCTTCAACCTGTACTGTAGCACTTTCAACCTTGGCACGTCTGGCCCATCCATCGTCACTTAAGGTGTATCCCATCATAGCAAAGGTTGTCTTATCATAGGTGCTTGTAATGTACTTATGCGAGAAAGGTGCCAAATCAACCTTCGTGACCTCAAGAATATGTGACATGAGCAAGCCATAGGGTAAACAAGCAGCAGACAAAGATATCCCTGATACTTTCAAGCATATACTGACGAATCCACACAAACTAGTCACGCCCTTTATTGTTCACAAGAAAGTAAGGAACAAAGACATCTCTAGTAGTCAAAGTGCTAAGAGACCCAGTCCTAAGAAGTAGAGTAGTAGCTATCGTGTGGGATAAAATGCGGTGTTCGAATTTGAGATTTTTAGGACCAATGTCAGGAGGGTTTTCGGATAGAAAAACTTTTGCCTCTTCTAAAAGAGACTTCAAAGTCTTTAGGTAAAGAATTTTGCACAAAAATATCATAACCATGAAACTTAGCAGAAAATATCTTTACAAATTGATAGGAATCAAGAACAATGCGAGTGCCTAAAACATTGACTCCAAGTCATCTTTTTCATTGACAAACATATTTGCATAAAACATCCTCACGGGCTCTTCATACACAGAATTTCCAATAGTATCAAACAGAGGAGAAAGACGTTAAAAGTCAAAAATAGCAATCACATCACAGTGAAAATATTTCATAAGAGAGTGACTTGCAGAGCGTCCATAAGCCATAGATTTAGATTTATAAGACTGCTTGGTCCATAGAAGTTCAATTTATCCTCTGGACCAAAACCTATGCTTTCCTCTTTCCCTTTCTTGACTACAGGCCTTTTGGGGGTTTGCTCCATAGGTCTTTTTCCTACCTTTTTCTGGCCAATAGGAAGATCCCCCGATGAGTCAATGCTTTTATTGTCGGTTTTGAGAAAGTCTGATTCAAGGTCGACGGTTTCTTCAGGATTTTGGGTTTTCTGAAATCATCTGCTTCGTCTTGTGGAAGTGGAATATGAGAGGTTTCTCTTCGCCATGGTAGAGAAATTTGGTGAGGAGTGATGAAGAATGAGAGAGGATGGGGGGTACTTATCTAGGCTTTTGGAAGGTTGAAGGGTTGCATCGGTTAGAGGAAAAGACAGGTTCAGATGGAAGTGACACCTCTGAGGAGTTGCTTCGGCGTCACCAATGGAAGTGTAATAATAACATTTACATCAAATTAATACACTTATCAATTAAGCAAACTAAGAAAGGAAGTAAAATATTCTATAAAGATACGAGAGATTTTTTTTTACATAATAGACATAATACCAATATTTTTACGCAGAAAAGAGGTTTTGTAAAAATATCAGCAAGTTGAGACTCAGTACTAATGAACTCTAACAAGATATCACCTTTTGCAACATGATCACGGATAAAATGATGCTTAATTTTTATATGTTTTCCCTAGAATGATGCACATAATTTTTAACAGACATATAGCACTTGTATTATTACAGAATATAGGAGTAGAGGCCAGAGATAAATCGTAATTAAGAAGTTGATGCATGATCCAAAGAACTTGTGTACAACAACTTCCAACAGCTAAATACTCTGCTTTAGTAGTTGACAAGGCAACATAATTTTGTTTCTTGCTATGCCAAGAAATTACAGCATTCCCCAACAATTGGCATGTGCCACTAGTACTTTTCTTGTCAATTTTATCACCTGCAAAATCTGCATCTGAAAAGCCTTTTAAATCAAAATTGTTAGAATGAGCATACCATACTCCTAATTTAGTGGTCCCAATGAGATATCTAATAATGCGTTTAACTGCAGTCAGATGATATTCCTTTAGAGCCGACTGAAACCGTGTACACTTACATACACTGAACATTATATCTGGTCGACTAGCAGTGAAATATAGTAAAGTTCCAATCATTCCTCTATACATTGTTTCATCCACACTTTTTCCATTCTTGTCTTCTTCAAGCGTAGTTGTTGGACTCATTGGAGTTCCAATAGACTTTGCATTCTCCATACCAAACTTCTTTATAAGTTCCTTGGTGTACTTGGTTTGGCTAATGAAAATTCCTTTGGAGATTGTTTGATTTGCAGTCCAAGAAAGAAAGTTAGCTCACCTATCATGCTCATTTCGAATTCTCCTTTCATAATATAAGCGAATTCTTCACTAATACAGAGTTCCAAAAATAATATCGTCAACAATAAGATTACTTGAATTTGAATGCTTAATAAATGAGGTTGTGTCCATGTTACCTCGTTTGAAACCTTTAGGAGAAAAGAGCTTAGTCTTTCATACTAGGCTCGAGGGGCTTGCTTGAGTCAGTATAGAGCTTTAGACAGCTTGGAACATGGTTCTGAAAGTTGTTACTTACAAAGCTAGGAGGTTGTTTCACGTATACTTCTAAGATATATCCATTGAGGAAGGCGCTTTTTAATTCCATTTGAAATAGCCTGAATCCTTTATGAGCAGCAAAGACAAGTAGTATTTGAATGGATTCTACTCTTGCTGCAGGTGCAAATGTTTCATCGTAGTCAATTCCCTCTTGCTGAGAGTAACCTTGAGCAACTAGCCTTGCTTTGTTATGAACTACTTGAGCAGATTCATTCAACTTATTTCTGAAAACCCATTTAGTTCCTACAATGGAAGCATTTGATGGTTTTGGAACCAAATCCCACACTTTATTTCTTTCAAATTGATCAAGTTCATCTTTCATAGCTTTGACCCAGTAGTCGTCTTTAAGGGCTTCATTAACCTTTTCTGGCTTAAGTTGTGATATTAAGGCCATGGGAGAGTTTAGCTTCTGAGATCTTCTGGTAGTGATACCTTCTTATGGATTTCCAATGATGAACTTGTGGGGATATCCAGGTTCACTTTTCCATTCATTTGGAACACTTGTGATTGGCTCCTTTTCCACAGTGGTTAAGTGTTCAGCAGAAGATGGTGCCTGGATTTGAATGTGCTCCTGAGTTGACTGATTTTGCTGATTGTTCCACTGATCGTGACTGTCTTTTCCTGTAACAACAGACTTTGGGACAATAGAGCTTTCCTCATCTTCAGGAAGTTTTTCATTCCTTAAGCGAGGGTTAGTATCCACAAAAACAACATGAATGGATTCTTCCATGAATAAAGTTCTTTTATTGAAAAATCTATATGCTCTACTTGAGGGAGAATATCCAAGAAAAATACCTTCATCGCTTTTTGGATCAACTTACCCAAGTTGTCTTTTCCATTATTGTGAATGAAGCATTTGCATCCAAATGGGTGGAAATAACTAATGTTGGGTTTCTTACCATTTCATAGCTCATATGGAGTCTTTTTAAGAATGGGTCGAATCAGACATCTGTTAATAATATGACATGATGTGCTTGTATCTTCTGCCCAGAAATGGTGAGGTAGAGAGTTTTTCACAATGATGGTTCTTGCCATGTCCTGCAAAGTTCTATTTTTACGTTATACCATTCCATTCTGTTGAGGTGATCTTGGCAAAGAGAAGTTGTGAGAGATACCTTGATCATTACAAAAGCTTTCAAAGGCTCTGCTTTCGAACTCTCCTCCATGGTCACTTCTGCTAGTAGAAATGTAATATCCCTTTTCACGATGTACCTTCTTACAGAAGACTTCAAAATCCCTTAGGGCTTCATCTTTATGATTCATAAAAATAACCCAAGTGAAACGAGAAAAATCATCTACGATAACAGAAGCATATTTTCTACCACCAATACTAGCAGTTCTAGTTGGACCAAACAAATCCATATGCAAGAGTTGAAGAGGTTTAGTAGTAGAAACAATATTTTTTGATTTTAAAAGATGAAGAGTTTGTTTTCCTAATTGACATGCATCACAAATATGATATTTTGAAAAATCTAGTTTTGGATGACAAATAACAAGATCGCATTTGGAAAGTTTTGAATAGTATGCATGCATGGCCAAACTTTCTATGCCATACCCAGGGATCATATAAATCATAGAAGCTAAACAAATTTGATTACCAAGACTATCTATGTTACTGATAGTATAAACATTCCTATCTCTATTTCTAGAAAGAATAACTTTACCTGATATTGAGAAGGTGTTTACCGTGAAAATGGTAATAACAATTAAATTTGTTGATGGGACTCTAAAAATACGTGATCTATTTTTATGCTAGTCGTGGAGTAGTTGATGTTGTGAGTGCGTAGTTTGAGGGTGAGACACGAGCTAAAATAAAGCAGTAATCGAACTGAGAGATAGCCGTTCGGGGCCTCGAGCTGGTCGATTTGGGGCCTCGAGGTCGAGTCTCGAGCTCGGGCTCGAGCTATCGGGGGAAATCGGGGAAGGACTAACAGATGCAATAACATTAAAGGAGGCTCTTTATAGCCAATGATCAGCAATAAACAAGCAATGAATATGAAACAAGTATGAAAATAATAGGATAGAACAACAGTGTCGAGAGAGTATCTTAGAGAGAAAGATAGAGAGTTATCATATATTTCATGTAGTGTCTTTGGAGTAACATCAGTCCTCTACAAAATAGTTAGAATCCCCTTTATATAGAAGGGAAAAAGTTTATACGGTAAGGCACACATTAGCTGTAAAGGTGTGGAGATGGGACGACTGAAATGACGCCTCGAGTAGGGCTCAGAGTAACCTGGCTATACTTTTCCAGACTTAGCCGTGATAGATTTAGCCGTGTGTTGGGAACTCCTATTTCTGCTTTAGCCCCGATCAATATCCTCCCGAGGCCGGGTGCCAATTGGCCCCAAGGGAGAAGACTCGAGCGCATCTTTGCAGCCTCGAGGCTTTGAGTCGATCTTCCGAGATGCTTAAAAGACGGGAAATTGGGCCCTCCGATTTTGCCGTATACAGATAGTCTCCGCATTTCCTAGATCGAGGTGATAGAAAACGAATTTGATGACCAACTCTTTAAGTTCCCTGCACCGATGTCATATCGGTGATGCAGCCTATGACGTGAGCCTTTGTAACAACCGGGAGATCCCTTGGGACTTGTCTTTTCGATGCCATTCAATGCACTGTCGATTCTCGTTTTTTAAAGCGGCAGTACCGCCATCGATTTGGTTTTCAAGAACACATTGATTGCGCCTGCCGATACGTCTTTCAAAGACATCGAAGACCGTGTGATTTCTTCCTACAAATGGGAGAACTTTGATGCTATTTCTTCAGCTAAGTATCTTCTTTCCTTCATCCATCCGTTCCTTTTTGCTGCCTTTACACCATCTTCTCCTATTGTTAACTGCTATGTTTGGGGTTCACGGCCCTAAAGCTGTATGGCAACGTCCTTATCAACCGTATAGGGGCCTCTTGTCCAAGCTTCTCCATGTTGAACGAGATCATACCATCTCGACGCTGCTGCTGTTGCTATCACGGTTGCTATTGCTGCCGTTACTGACTCGAGATGATGATACATGGGGGGCCGATTTTTTTTGGTCCGGACTGGCGTTCGGATTCTACACCGCTGCTCACTGCACTTCATTCCTTGGGTTTTTTCCCAAGGAATAAAATGGCACAAGCGGCTGTCGAGGCTGGAGCCCGCCGGATCTTCAACCTTTGGCTTCGGCGAGCTATGTCTCTTTTTTCTGCCTCTTCTGCGTCCTCCCTCTTTTCTCTTCTCCGTCTTTTCCCTTGGATATGTTATCCCGAGGGATTGAGTTGGGAACCTAGAGGAGGTGGCGGTCGAAGGTATCTCCTTTGAGGACGCAAGCTCGACGAGGCGGCGCTTTGGGGATACTGCTACCAGAGATAAACCTTCAAGGATACACTAGGTTTACACCTCGCATATCCCTTTTTGTTTCCTTATCTCTGAGTAGAAACCTTCTGTAAGCTTTTGTAATCATATGTAAGGACCCCTCGAGGGCCGTTGTAAGCAAATTCCCATAAATATAAAGATATTTTTTGACTTCTGCCTTTGATGTTTGCTATATTTCCTTTGCTTTTTGCGAGGACCCTGCATGTATGCTTCTGCTGCCGATCATCAACACTCGGCTTGAACGCGAGTATTTTTCTCGGCTTTGTTTGATAGAAATGGCTCCCTTTCGAGCCCACCGTTGTTTCTCGGATCGAGCTCGAACTGGTCTGATAGACCCGGGCCATCGGGACCCTCGAGTCTCATAGAGATAATACTTTGATACTTGAAGTTCTTGATGGTGATGTCTGAGTGAAGTTGGCTTAGGACGCCTGGAGATTTGCCTTGAACTTGTCGAAGATAACCCTTCTAAGACGCTGTAGATAGGTCCTAGATGATGGGTTACCCAATTTTGGTGGTGCCCCGAGGCCGAGCCTCTTTGGGCGGAGCTTCGAATTTCCTGTTCCTCCACTTGGGGGGTTCCTTCGAGTTCAGCTATTATCTCGAGCCCCATAATGGTGTTGAAGGTTTTTATGGAGCCTAGCTTTATGTTGATAGAGGTCCTCGAGGTCGAGTATTGCCTCGGGACTGGAGATGGTGTTTGCTAGCTTCCTGAAGACTAGTCTTATGTTGATGGGGGTCCTTGAGGTCGAATATTGCCTCGAGACTGACATTCGAAGTCATTGACCTCCTGGGGCATATCTCGGGCAGGCGGACCATTGCTGTTTCCGCGCATATATGGGGTCGCTTCCGCTTTTTGGGAGATCCACTTTTTCGATATTTCCTCCTATTTCGGCGTCGAGCCCTTCGTTACCTTAGTACCAGAGTGTTTGTGCAGGTTTCCGCTTTGGCGCCTCTAGTCTTGCCATGGCTACGACTGTTGCTTCAGGGTCCGCTTGTCAGAGAGGAGAGAGCTCCGCTCCCAGTGCTCAAGATCCGTGGGAGTCTAACGTGAAGACTACGTCTTTGATAAGGGAAGAGCACCTACAGTTGGTGAGGAGAGACTGCGGATGGGGGGAGGAGGTAGCGCTACAGGTGCTTTCCCCGGACGAAGGTATTACCGACCCTGCCGATGGCTTCCTGAATGTATATACGTATCCCTTCACACTGGGACCTCTTGACAGGGTTGTGCTCAATTTTTGTGTAAAGTATCGGGTTACCTTGGCGCAGGTACACCCGTCGTTTTGGCGAATTGTGTTGATGATGAGGTTTTTCGCGGAGAAAGCTGTATTGGGGAAAATTATATTTATGTATATGGTGACGTGTCATGACGTATAGACTGGTCAAACAGTCAAAGAAATAAGGTTGGTTAACAGATACGAGCAACAACAGATACGAGTAAATTAAATGGAGAGGGTGCGAGCAGTCATACAAGTAATTCAACGCTCGTACCTATTCAAGACATTTGAAACTCAAAGATAGTGAAGAATCAAAGGAATGAATCTAACAGCAAAAAGGAGCCCAGATACAAAATTTAATGAGTATTAATTATTGGAAACGTTAGAGAATATGTATTTAATGTATATGATTGTATAACGTAACATTTAAAGTCATTAATTGCCCATAATAGCATTATTATGACAAAGGTAAGGTTCGTATCCCAAAAGAGCTATAAAAGTGGAAGAAACAAACAATTGTAGAGGGAGGTGACTATTGGAATATACTTTGATTTACCAGCTTTCATACTTGGTTACTCTAAAATTTCTTTCTTTATTTACTTTTTCAATTATCAGTCACCCGATTCTTCTAAATTCTAGTTTTGACTAAAATCCTATTTTTCGGTTAAACAAATTGGTTCCGTTGCCGGGAATCTGACAATCAAGTATATCTCAACCTAATTTTCTTGATTGCATCAATCATGTCGAACAACAATGATAACACTTAAGGAAACCCAGAAATTCAAACAATCCAACAACTTCAGGGAGATTCCCCACGACGGTCTCGTG